GCTTCCCCTATTCCACCATACAGATCTGCATTCCAAGAACTAGGGAGACTGAGGCAGGAGGAGCTGAAGTTTGAGATCAGTCTGGGCTTCACAGTGAGACCCTGTCCAAAAATAAATGGAACCACAAAAATAAGAAAATAATGATCTCAATTGGCTTTATTTCCAATTTAAGGACAATTAGCACATTGTTCTATAAAACAGAATTAGTTTTTTGGCATGGAGAATTGGGGCACATTCAAGGCCAGCTTGGTCTACACTGCCAGTTCCTAGGACAATTTGGAATACTGCATTACATTAATCTAAAAAAAAAAAGAAGAAATGAAAAGTTAAAATAAGAAGGGTACATGTTTCCCTGAGCTTTTAAGTTGAATGCAACAACCTTGCTTGCTTTTCAATTAGGATATTGGTGGAGCTTTAACTTCCAAATCTGAAAGTTCTAGTGTGGGTATTCAAGATGGATTCATTTGTGTGTGTGCAAACTTAGTTCATCAAGAAGGAAATGATGTCAATAGAGACATCCAGAAATGTACATTTCCACAGTTCTCTCACAAACAGGTTTAAGGATGCAACCAGAGGTTTGTTCACTTTTCAGGAGAATCAAAATTATTTCCTTCTCGCCAGGCATAGTGGTGCACAACTTTAATCCCAGCACTCGGGAGGCAAGAGCAGGCAGATCTCTGTGAGACTAAGGCCATCCTGGTCTATATAGTGAGTTCCAGTCCAGCTGGGGCTGCAGGAAGACCCTATCTCAAAAACAAACAAAAATCCATCATAAAACTGAGGTGAGGCTAGGAAGGGGGTGAGGCTAGACCACAGGGCTATGTACAGTGGAGGTGAGGTGGGGAAGGGGGGTCAGAAACAGAGGGCTTGGAGAATTGGGGTCACTTGTCACCTTTGCTAAACATGACAGTCTAAGAAGGAGTAATGTCATCTTTAGCCAGCCTCTAAGGTACAAAGACGAGAGGCATGAAGCAGGTCTGGGGACAGAACAGTGGGTCTAAAGCAGGGTGCAGGGTAACAGGGGAGGCTGCATTTTATTACGGGTTATCACCACTCAGTAGGTGACACCTAGTTTCCCTCTGCAATTTCAGGCTGAAGAGCGGATTGATCTGGTATCTCCCAAGAAATGGGGAAGTAACTTCAGGACTGTCAACATCCAGGGAATGTTCAGAGGTCCTGCTGTTCAGATGGTCCATTGTCAACAGGTGAGGCAGTGACTGCCTATGAGACATCCCAAGATGGAGCGAGGTGTAATTGTAACAGGAGGTCTGGTGCTGAGCCTCTGAAAGCAGAAGAGAGCGTCAATGCACATGAACAGATGCTCTGACCCTCCTCAGGCCACAAGAGAATTATTAAAAGATGCTAGTGGGCTGCCTGAGTGGTGTCACTGACCTCTGGATTTCGACCCAGGAGCATGTCTCCTCTTCCAAGCTTTTAAAGAAAACGTGAGCTATGCTGTTCTACAAGGCCACAAAGCAGCCAGAAGAGAGCAGACCCTCCTTGCAGACCTGAGCTTTGGTCTCCCTTCCTGGGCTAGGTGCACCTCAGTGATCTTCTTAAGACAAGGCATGTGTACCTCTTTAAGGACAAGTCCCAAGAGTCCATGACCCAACTCCTACTGTGGGAGTCCAGAAGGCAGGCCTAGAATGAGCATGGAGCACAGTAGGGTGGAGACCCACAGTAATTGACAGGTAGGTCAAGTGCGGCTTGTTCCCCCAGCTGATCCCACTTCAGCCCGCAGTGACTGGACAGAAACTCACTACAGCAGCCTCTTCCCTCAGGAGGCTCTCATCCCTCAGGAGGCTCTCATCCCTCAGGAGGCTCTCTTCCCTCAGGAGGCTCTCTTCCCTCAGGAGGCTCTCATCCCTCAGGAGGCTCTCATCTCTCAGGAGCACCCATTGTGTGCGGGCTGCCTTCCCTCTTAAGCCTCTCTGATGGGTATGACGCTACTGCAGCTTGTTTCCACATGAACGTGAACAGAGAAAATCTAGGGAGACCAGCTGCTGGTTTTGTGTTCGTTATTGGGGGTACCGTTAAAACAAAGCCAAGAGTTCTTAAATGAACTTTTCATGCAAAATAGGGGGGACAGTCTATTGGTAGACTTGAGCCAGATTCTTCTTTTCCCTTGTAAACCTTTCTAGACCCTCTCACCTTTCCCACCCACCAAAGTCTCAGTTTGCAGTGATCTAATACAGGCTATAATGGCGTTTGACGAGGAATTTCTCAGAAATAAGCTAAAGATTTTCTTTTTATCAGTAGATTACACATACTAGAACACAAGTCTTTTCAGAAAACGGGGAAGCTTAAAAGTTAGGATTGATGCCAGGGCCATGTTCATGCTGGGTAAGTACTCTCCCCAAAGCTGTATCCAAAGCCCAGCCTGAAGTCCTCTGGTCCAGAGCCAGGCACACCGTCCACTGCACCACCAGCCCTCCTTATGTGGTTCTCTCCTGAAGTATCATCAGCTGAACTGGTCTTTATGAGGTTCCTAAACTTTCATATGATCAACCTTCTCCATGTGTTCATACCCACTGGCCTCCCTCCCATTCATCTGCCCTTCCCTGGCCCCCAGCTTCCCAGCTGAGAGAACACAGACCTCCTTTTTAAAACCTTTTTCATTTACTTATTGGGGAAGGGGCCACTGCATGTGTGGAAGTCAGAGAACCGTGGGACTTGATTCTCTCCTTCCACCATGTGGTTTCCAGGGACCAAAATCACATCAACAGGCTTGGTAGCAGGTGCCTTTACCTGAGGCTGAGTCTTGCTGGCCCTCAACCATCAATCTTGGAGCCTCAGTTCAATTTTCTGACAACTTCGACCCCTTAACCTCACTAGGAGGAAACTGGAATGAGCATATTTGAAGATTTTTAGAGTTTTAATATCCAGAAAAGAAACCAGGACTCAGACTTGTGTGAACAAATGGAATAACTGAATCGGTGTGGTGGCACCTGCCTGGTATCTGACCATAGGAGGCTGAGGGGGGAATGCTGTGAGTTAGACCATCCTGGGTTAGACAGGGAAGTCCAAGTCAAACAGGGCTGCACAGACCCTATCTCAAAATCAGTAAATAAGCAACAGAAAACACCCTGATCTGCTAGTCATTCTCTCTGGATCAGTTTGTGTTCCTTCCTGCCCTGTGGCAGAGGGCTCGCTACAGTTGTGATGTTCCTCACACTGCCGCAAGCTGCTGCTTGTTCGGCCGTCTCCCGTTCCACTGGACGTCCCTCAGGGCAGCGCTCTCACATCTGCAGCCAACCATATTAAACATCTGCATGAGTGATGGACAAGTAACAAATGTCTGCAGCATCAGGGCTCACTTGTGGCAAAGGTGGCTCACAGGAGAGCTGTCCTATACTATCCCCAGCCAGACGTTCATATGGAAGAGCAGTGGCCACCTTGGACGGGGTGGCGTTCTGATTCTTGAATAGGCTTTTAGTTCCTCTGTGTGGCTGTGCTGCTGCCTGATACAGAATTTCATTTCTGATTTTAGGATTCCCCCCATTTTTTATTGAAATGGCTGTTATATCTTTGGGGGCAGAGTTGGGGCTGGGTGTGTCAGTTAATGACGATGCTGACAGTCAGCGGGGCCAGCTCCAGCTGGTAGAGAAGCAGTTCTCCCAGGTGAAGGCAGCACCCAGTACACCAATGGAGAGGAAAGCTTGCTGGCACAGACAGAAAGGCCTTTCCCACCACCCGTGCCACCGGTGTGAACTTCTCATGAAGCCAGTAGTCAGAAGCAGTTAGGGTACGGGGCTTACAGGATTTGTGAAAGAGCCCACAGACCAGGCCCTAGGAAGCTGTCAGCAATAGCTCCAAGTGTTAAAACCAGGAAATGGAGATCCTGAGGAACAGCAGACAGACCTCTCCCCCTTGCAGCTCTGCAAGCCAAGGCCATGTTCTGTAGTGTAATTCCCTCACACTGTGAGGTCTGTACCGCGCTCCTCATCTGCCTTGAGGACACCCAGGAGTGATGACTCAAACTGTCTTCAGAGCTGTCACGGGTCCACCTCCTCCACAGCTAGGATATAGAGGTTGGAAATAAAATCACTTTCCTGCTGGAAAGGAGGAATGCTGTACCCCACTTCTCCAGACCTAAAGTAAAATGAGAGTGCCCTCTCTCACACGGCACACCAGGCCAGTTAGGTTTCCAGACAACCACACAGAAGTTAATCCACAGCTGTGTGGCATATTGAGAATCAGCAGTGATGGGAACCAAAGTCCTGGTGCACCACACACAACCACCTAAGTCAGGTCATCTAAGTGTGGCTGTGACACCCACCCCACAGATGCTGTGAGACATAAACAAGCTAGCTCCCTCACCTCTGATGTCCAAGGCAGGCAGTCACAGTGCCCAGACCTTAAGGCACTTGACAGCGGGCTCCACCTTCCTCCGCAGGGCAAGGCAGGAGCCCTAAATTCCAACTTTAGAAATCAGTTTTCTGTGAATTGAAATCTCATCGTCCCCAGGCTTGTTAAAGCATCAACAGTAATAGCTGGCATTTTCTTCTCCCTTTTGGTTTGGGTATTTAGTGTGCATGTGGGGTCAGAGGACAACTTGCAGGAGTCAGCTCTCTCCTTTCACTATGTGGGTCCTGGGGACAGAACTCAGGGTGGCAAACACTTATACCAGCAGAGCCATCTCACCAGCCCCACAGCTGCTGTTTTCAATGTTTTACTATCACGCTCTGTTCATTCTCTGTGTAACCACAGATTGATCAATGTCTTCTTAGTTTTCACTCTCTGCTCTTACTATTGTTCATGGAGACTTGTGGAGAGAGTGGGTTTAGAAACAGACCCAAGTAAAGATCTTAACTCTGCCTTTTTTTCTATGTGAGCTCCAGCCAGCAGCACTCCAGCCATGCCATTGTTACTCTGTAACAAGGTAGCACTGTCCAAGTTGGTTGTGCAATTAAAAGTCACAAGTAAAGTGCAGGACAGATATTTAGCTTTTCATAAAACAAAGTCATTGATAACAGCATCTTACTTCTTCCCACAGTAACTCAAAGATTTGCTGAATGTTTATTTACCAAACAAATGGAGAACCCTTAGAAGTCAAATGAAGTTCGATCTCATTCTTTGTACCATTTACCAGAGCAACAGACAGTAAGTGTCCATGAATCGGCAGGAGTGTCACTCCAGAACAGTGCTCACGCGCCACGGAAGCAGAGCAGCTACCTTTGCAGAAGTCAGCATGGCCTCAGCATTGCTCTAATCTTGAAGGAGAATGCACTTGACCTTGTGAGGGGTGGGGGGTGGGGGGTGTGACTGGAAAGGCAGATAGAAGGATCCATGAAGAGCTAATGCACAGGTAGAAACTCATTTTTTCAACAACTGGTAGTGAATTTCTTGTCTCTCCCACCACACGCTTACGTACAAATGACATATGCCAAACAGTGCAACACTTTAGAAGACAGGGTTCATGCTACTTATAAACATCTTTTCAAGGTAACGAATTTATACTGCAGACAAAAGGAAGACTAAATACATTTTGGGATGGTGAAGCTGGGCTTGGTGGCAATGGCCTGTAATCCCAGCTACTTGGGAGACTGAATCAGGAGGATTGCAAGGCCAAGGCTTGCCAGGCCTACAGAGGGAGTCTGAGGCCAGCCTGAGCAACTTAGTGAAGCCTATATCAACATAAAGAGACAAGTGCTGGGTCACTAGTTGAGTAGCACATGTGGTCTGGAATCCAACCCAATGACTTCCATCTAGAAACTGAAAGCATATAAAAGTAATTCTTTTATTTTCTATAAATATATTCAGAAGCTCTTAACCCAGTCCGAATCCACTAAACCAACAACTCTCCATTTCTTCTAAGTACAAAGGATGTTGTTGCTGTCCTGATCAATGCCGATCATTCTAAAAGGTGCGTGGACTAGCGGTCCTCACTTGGGAAAGTAAGGCCGTTCCTGGAGCCAGAGAATAGGATTACCAGGAAAAGAGGCCAGTGACCAAGAAAAACAAGATCCAACCAGCAACTGTGGTAGCACTGTAAGGTCCTCAGCCAGGCACTGCGGGATTTGGTCCACTGCAGTAGAGGCTGCCCACACAACTTCCATTTCTGGACTTTCACCAGACTCTTGGTCTGAGGAACACAGGAAACATCTGAGCAATTAGTTACACTCTGCAGGAGATAAACCAGAACACAGCAGGGCTAGTAGGTACATGGGGCTTCCTCTTCCATCAGGAGTCCCTGCCCAGCTACGGTTCCTCTTTGCCCTCTGCAGGCGGTGGGGCGCCAAAGATCCTGGCAAGAAGCCCTCGGTTGGAGCGGGCCTGGTCCTGTGCAGTCGCCAGGCGGGCTCGTTCCCGCCCTCCTGGCCGTGCTGCCTTCCGGGCCCTCAGCTCCTGCTCAGTGGGGCGCTGAGCAAATGCCCAGGAGCCTTTCGGGCGGGCAGGATCCCCATCAGTAGCAAGGAAGCGTTGTCCCCGGTCTACACTTCGAAGATAGAAGTCAGTCTCTCGCTTTGCCTGGGCGACCTCTGCTCTTAGGCGCTGCCGGCGCACCTGGCGCTCAAAGGCAAGGTGTTCGCTGAGGTGGGACCAAGTAAAGCGATGCAAATACTGTGGGCAGGAAAATAAAAACAGGTCAGGATACGGAAGAGCAAAAGAGTGAAGAAACTGGGAGCTGAAGAGAACCATTTCAACTCATGGGGATGGAGGGCACGGAAGTGTGGCAGAAAAGGCTAAGTCCTCACCTTGAGGTTCCACAGATCATAACGGAAGGGGCTGCGCCTGCGGGCGCCCATAGGTGTGTTGTGTAGACTGGCCGCCACCCGCTTGGCTACGCGCTTGTCCCGGAACTCCACCCAGCCTTCAGTATAGTCCTTGCTGTATTTGGAGCCTTTCTTCCCTCCCGAGGCCGCTGCTGCTTTCTTCTTTTTGCGTTTGACAAACCGGTCTGCAAGCCAAAGAGATCATCCGGGTCAAGGAGGTCGAGGCAGCATCTCTGGGGCACACCTCGTCTGGCCACAATGGACACACCTGTCAGCCGAGGGGCCACCTTACAGTCGCTGGTGAAGAGAAAACCCTGTGTAGGGTGCAGCTTCTCCTCTAACGCACGCCTTTCTTCAAATGACAACTCCCTGGACACGACCCAAGATCCGCACCGGCCGCCACCCCCAGTTCGTCAGTGCGTGTAAAGAGGTGACAGAGGTCGGGAAGTCTAGCCAAGCATCGTTTCAGGGATAACTTAGCACCTAATGCACACTCGCTAACACCCCCCCCCATGCTCCCCTCCCCGCTCCGGAGGGAACAAGTAGGGAGCCCTCCGTAAGCCTCTACCAGGCCCCGCACTTACCCTCTGCCTGGAAGAACACGCGCCCCACTTCCCCGTAGGCGCTGAGCAGGTTGCGGACTTGCAGAGGCCGGAAGCGCGGCGGGACGTGGCCCAGGTACACGATTCCCGGTACCACCCTCTTCTTGCTGCTGCGGGCCACGTCCCCCGCGTCCCCCGGGTCCCCAGGATCCTCCGCGTCCTCGGGCTCCTCCGCGTCTCCCGGCTCCGCACTCCACTCTGTAGCTGCTCGCGCGTCTCCCTCCATCGCCGCCTCCGACTCCAAGGCTTCCACGATGGCGGATGAGTGCTGCACGACAGCCGTAAAGCTGCCGGCGTCGGATGACGCACATCCTGTGCGCCGGTCTGCGGTGAGGGGCGTGGCCAGGGCTCTGATGAGCGACTGGAAGAGCGAGGGGGGCGGAATGGGGGGGCGCCTTTAATAACATTGTAATTGAGTGTGAATATTTAAATTTAGGCGCTGTTTGGCCTCGGTGGGCTAATTTCTGTTACGCTTTGATGGAATCAGACGAGCGCTCCGCTCGCGCAGCCGCACAACAGCCGCCAGGGGGCGCCATCCCCACGCCGCCGGGTTACCTGCTCGCGAACCCCACCGGCCAGTTCTCGCGTGGTCAGAGCGGCGCACCGAGCCCTGGGGCCCGACGTCACATCCACCCATCAGCGAGCACACTCGAAGGACAGAGCAGGCGAGCCTCCGTAGAGGGTCCAGCCTTGGCTGTCTGAGCTCTAGTGGGCGGGTTTCCTAGCTCACTGTAGACCTCCTGGACTCTTCTGAAGGGGAGGCTGACGTCAGAGGGCCACAGAGAATGACGTCATGGAGCTGGGGTGGGGGCGCGAGGGAATCTTGTGGTAGCCACACCCTGTGCGCTTGGAATAACTAATGTGCAGGCCACTGTCAGCTGGACGAAGGAGAGTTGCAGTCCAGACTGGGCTACTTGAGAACCGTTAATGAGGGTGCAAAGTCATGGTGTGGTGTGGATTCAGATGACATTGATTACTGCAGCTTATGACCTCTTCAAAAGGTAACTCCTTCGAGCCGGATTCGAACCAGCGACCTAAGGATGACCACGACAAACACCTACAGTCCTCCGCTCTACCAACTGAGCTATCGAAGGGAGTTAGAGAGATACAACCCTTGGGATTCATTAAATCACCCAGAAGTTTGTTTTGTCCCACTCCAGTTTATTTGAAAAACACAACTACAGGGAAGTGATTTAAGGAACTAGAAAAGTCTAGGATTGACCTCATTAGTAAAACTACAAGTGTTATTGTAGTCTATCAAGAGGTGCTTGTTAGGCAAGGAAGGCAGCATACCTAAAAAGTGGAGTAAGTTTGAGCTGTGAGGGTTATTGGCCCCACTACAGTGGTGTAAGAGAACATGGGCCACTGAGTTCAACACAAAGGCCTCTCAAGTTTTGTGTCTAGTGCATTTGTGCCTATCCTTGGTTTTCCTCACTCTTCGGAAAGAACAAGCCGTGTTTCCCTTGTGAACTCTGCTTTAGGATGAGTCTTGAACCCTGTGGTCTATCTACGCTATCACTATCACTTTTGTTCACTTTGATAGAGACGAGGCGCTCAGTAGACTGGTCAGCACAGCAGGGCCTATAGATGTTGAGCAAGAGATAGCTCACGGTAGGCAGTGAGAGAAAGGGGCCCATGGCGACCATTACTAGTTGCCCACATGTTACACTGGGAATGGATGTTGAGGGGTGCTGGTGCCAGCTGGCCTTAGACGAACAGCACCTGAAAGGGGGAGTAAGGATGAAAGAAAAACAAGAGACAAAAGATATTTGAGAGAACTGTCAGTAGAGCCTGCAGCCCCAGTTTATTTTAGCTCATTGTTTTTATACAGTAGAACATCAGAGATCGCCACCGTTGCTTAACTCAATTAGCTTCAACAGCTGTTTTCATTCCTCCTGACTTGGAAGAACAATTCGGTACTGGTATGCAAAATACAAACTCTTGAGTCAAGGTGAAAGGTTATAAAGTAAACAAGCCAGCCTGCCTAGCCATAGCTCAATGTACATAATGGCTGTGCTTATACTAATAGCTCGCAACAGAGGGGAAACTGGAATGAAGGGGTTAAAACAGTGCCGCCAGGAGTACTGGGGGCCAGATGCTGCAACTGGGTATCAGACAGTCAAGTGGCTTGGTAACCGAAACCTCGAAGAAGCAACGCTGTGACGTCAGGAGGCTGACTGGCTTCCAGTCCTTTCCCCTTGGGGAAACATGCTCGGCACAGTTGCCCCATATATTCTTGTTTTCAGTACGTTGTCTAATGCAGCCAGTTGTAATAGACTAAGCTGCCCCAAGGATGGCTTTTAACAAGCTTGTCCCCTTACTGGAAAGAGACCCTGCCACAAAGAAGTAACTCCGACCACCGCCGTGAGGTGGTCAAGGTCCTTAATTAAGCCACTCAGAGATGGATAGCGGGCCTCAGCCATCCCTAACTGTGTAGTCAACACATGAACAGTGCAAGATGATCCGGCCGGTTCCGGTCGCCTAAACACCAGCTATTTCATAAATCAGTAGAGAACCCGCTCTGCGTCCCTTTGATAGCTCAGTTGGTAGACCGGAGAACTGTAGGTCTCTGTTTCCGGCCAACCTTAGGTTGCTGGTTTGAGTCCAGCTCGAAAAATAAGTGTTTTGACGGTAATTGTTAACCCGAAACTAATGTAGTTCATGTGCATGTAGTATACTTAGTTCTTGTGCATGTTTTATGCTTAGCATAAAGCCACAATCGCGTGCGAGCGAGTCTTGCGTGCTTTTTTGAAATTGTGAAACTCGTACCTGAAAGCTCCCCCCCACCACCCCCCACCCGGGGATTATCTCACCTGGAGTCCCTCGACCGCGTCTCGCTGTCCAGTGACAAATCCAGGGTTTCCTCCCTCCTCCACTGAGTGACACCCCCCCCACCCCCCGCCCCAGACCACAGACCACAGGCAGCGTGGGCCGAGTTAACGGCGCCCCTGACCTGTGCAGAGCCCCGGGCGCCCGGCTCCAAGGCCGCCTTCTCACTACGTGAGGGTGTCTGCGCCACGGCCTGTGGCCCGCGCTCTATAGGCACTTCCCTGGAGGATTCCGAGTCCCTTTCAAGCACACCCCAAGCAAACGTCGCTCCCCACACCCCACACAGCCAGCCAGAGTCAGCCCCTCTGCACCGCGAGCGCACGCAGCCCAGATGCGTTCTGCGCCTCCTCCCGGCTGGGGATGGAGACCCGGCATGGGGACGCGGGAGGGGAACAGGGGTGGAGACGTCTGTCAGGAAGGGGACGCCGTGGGACCCGCGGCGCATCCCGCCCCGGCGCTGTGGCGGGAGGATGGAGGCCGCGCCTCTGTGTCTCCGCCCCGCTCTGTTTGTGCTGCTATGCTCGCTCGGTGACTTTCCGGTGCTCCCCCGCGGTCCCTGCTCCTTCTGGCCTCCCTCAGACCCCGCCTCTCCCTGCAGCTCTGCTCCTGGCAGAACTCTGGACCTTGGCGGCCACCTCGCGCTGCGGGAGTTGCCGCCTCCAGCCATCAGTTTGTCCAGCACCTGTGACTACAGACCCCGGTGAAGAAAACCTCTCGTGGGCTCCCCGCTGGGGCGCAGAAACAGACACCCCAAACCACAATGCAAGGGGAGAGCGGCTAGCCAGTCGCCAAACGCACTAGTTGTCATGGGGAGGGGTCCTTTCTGTAGGATGAGGTCCAGAGCCGGGATGGAGGGGTCACCTAAGGGTCACAGCCCAAGAGGAGTCCCCAGAAGGCCAGGACTGGAGCGCTGGCCGGAACTCGCTCACTAGGATCGTTGCACCCAGTCAAGATTTCAGTGGAAAAGTAAACTTTGGATAAATTGTATGTGGGAAGGCAGCAAGTGCGGCCTAGAAACAGCAGCAGAGACCCGGCATCTGAGCAGGAGGCTGATCGGAAGGGAGGGGCTCCTGCCTTCCAAGCTGGAAGCTACTAACTCCTCGTTCCTTTGGAAACTAATTTCCTCTTGCAGCCAGCCCCAGTGAGTTCACCTCCACAAGCTCCGGGGCAGAGCAGGTATCAGGACGTCCGTGTGCGTGCTTCTTCTCCAGGAGAGAACTTTAATTTTAATGTGGTCTTTTATAGACGAACATCGGAAACATTTTCCGTAAATGTTATATGAGCCCTATTGCCAGAAACCGTTTAATAATTGCCAGCCATAGCATAAAAGAAAAACTTAACGATCCTTTCAAAAGAAAACATGTTTTTTCGCCTCAGCCCTGCCCTGGCCCCTCGCCCTACTCAGGCAACTTCCTTATCTCGCCTAACCACATGCCTTCTTAGAAAAACCCCCTCTGCCCTACTTTGGCAACCAGCCCTTAGTGGAAAATTCCATGAGAGCCTTTCTTCTTCTTCTATCCCCGCCTTCCACTCCCCCGCCCTAACCCTGCTATAAAAATATGCTGTGTGTGCTCAATAAACGGAGCTAACACTGTCTTGCTTCCTTTCTTCGTGTTCCTTGTTTGTTCATTTCTTCTAGGACCCTCACTCGTCGTCCCACGGTAGAGGTGTCCCGCGGTTCGGGACACCCTATGCCTTTTCTAAAGAATAAACCAAAATAAAAATTATGCATCATAAACTTCAAAATTGGTAAATACCATGAACCTGGGTGGCTTCCTGAGTTTCCCACCGGTCCTCAGGCATTCGGAAGCTGAGAGCCAGCCTGGGTGCTTGTTAGGCAACATGACAGCATGATTGGAAAATGGAATGATTAAATACTGTTTGAAGTGTGCGCCTCGTGTTTTATTTGTTGGCCCCACTACAGCGCTGCAAGGGAACATGGAGCACTCAGCAACTCAAGGCATGCCAAGGCCGCTCAAGTTCTGTGTCTAGCCCTGGTTTGCCTTACTCCTCCGCAGGGAGAATCAGTGTTTCCCCTGGTGGACTTCGGAATGGTAGGCGTCATTTTCACTGTTGATAAAGGAGAGGACAGGCCAGCACCCTGGGGAAAGTGCAGCCTCGGGGGTGGCGCTGTGTTGTCTCTGAAGCTCGCAACATCTTAACTTGTCCTTAAACACTTGCATTATGACTAGGCCAATCTTAGATTTTCTAGTTCCTTAAATCAAAGATTGGAGTGTGGGCAGAACAAACTTCTGGGTGATTTAATGAATCCCAAGGGTGGCGCTCTTAGCTCCCTTCGATAGCTCAGTTGGTAGAGCGGAGGACTGTAGGTGCTTGCTAGTGGTCATCCTTAGGTCGCTGGTTCGAATCCGGCTCGAAGGAATGAGTTAATTTTTGAAAAGGTCCTGAGCTGCATTCCAGGGTTTTTAAAGAATACAGTGATCAATGATCAATGTCATCTGAATCCACACCAACTCTAGAAATCAGAAGAGAAAAGCGATCCTAAGGAACCGAGCAAGTACTCAGCCAGCTCAGCTTCCAGTGACAGAAAAATGCCCCATCCCTAATCCCCATCCCAGGTCCCCATCCCCGTTCCCCATCCCCGGTCCCCATCTCCCCGTCTCCATCCCTGGTCTGCACCCCCAGCGTGGAGGAGGCGCAGGCAGGACCCGGTCCCCTCCAACCCATGCCTAACTGCACCCGCTGAGGCCTGGGCGAGAACGCATCTGGGCTGCGTGAGCACGCGGTGCAGAGGGGCTGACTCTGGCTGGCTGTGTGGGGTGTGGGGAGCGACGTTTGCTTGGGGTGTGCTTGAAAGGGACTCGGAATCCTCCAGGGAAGTGCCTATAGAGCGCGGGCCACAGGCCGTGGCGCAGACACCCTCACGTAGTGAGAAGGCGGCCATGGAGACGGGCGCCCTGGAGTTCCGGCGCCCCTGACCTCGCCCAGCGCTGGCTGTGGTGTAGTCTGGGGGTCACTAGGTGGAGGAGGGAGGAAACCCTGGAAAGGCCTAAAAACGTAGCAACACGTCTTAAGAATGCAACTTTAAGTTTGAACTGTACGTATTTATGTGCAAACGTTCCAATTTGGACTTCTAACCTTGGCCTGATCTGTTTTTGCGCATAAAAACGCATGTCCTCCGAGCCGGATTCGAACCAGCGACCTAAGGATGTCCATGGGACGGTGACTCCTCTACAGTCCTCCGCTCTACCAACTGAGCTACCGAAGGGCACGTGCGTCTCTCTTCTAATAATAGTACATATCCTGACTATCTCTATTTTCAGGTATTGAAAATTTTAAAAGTAAATTTCTCAGACACTAAAAATATTGTATATAATGATGTTGGTAGTTTCATGAGTTTACATATATATGAAGTTTTTACTATAGATGGAGTGAATGTCCCCAGTGCCCCCGGTGCTGTTCTGATAACTGTGCCTTTCTCTCTCAAAATCATCTGGGTTGGCTGAGAAAAGGATATGGTCACAGTAAGGACAGGGTAGTTGGAGAAGAGGATCCTGGGTTGTGCACAGCAAGGTCCAAAGCATTTCTGTACCCTGGGGATTCTTCCTCCTGAAAGTCGAAACGGTGAGTTAACAACTGTCAAAACTGCAGCATGGATTCTAAGGTATTTCTCATCTTCGCTCACCTCTGAAAACCGAGAGGTTGGAAATGCAACACCTAAACTAGTGTTGCTGGAAACCCAAGCTCCCAGATGAGACGGAAATTTCAGCAGACCAAGCACCTCCAGGTTAGTCTCCCTGGAGCCCAGGGGATGGATCTGGGAACCAAAGAGTGAATCAACTCCATCCGTACACTGGTCATAGAGTCCCCGGAAAGAGTTAAAAATAGAAGGAAAAATGAGTAAGTTAGGTCCCGCAGGGAGAAAGAACCCAAGCAGTGGTGGGAATCTGGCAAGGCTGGCCGGGAGATGAACCGTAGGTTTCCACACACAGTTTCAGCATCTGAGTTTTGAAATCTCCTCTGCAGGGAGCTTCTTCCCACAGAAAGCAGTCCACTGTTTGTCAGCTCTGACTGCAATCAATAAAGAGAGGAGTAGGCTTGCAGGGCAGTCTACGGGTCAGGGGAAGTCCTGGTGCACCAGGGCCCGGCACAGGCACAGCACAGGAGCCTGCAGTCAGGTCTTGGCCTCTGCTGTAGGTGTTTTTCTTTGTTTAGCTTTCTTTGTCCTTGTCCCTTCCTTTTGTGGATACATGGTTTTATACCTCTGACTGCCTGGTATTCACCAACTAGCCCAGGTTGGCCTCCCAACGCCTGGGATTAGAGCACACTACACCCGGCTCCAGAATCGCTTACTTAAATAATAAACCACTTCCCTTAAATATCTTTCTAGCAGCTGTAACCGCGCCTCACACCGGCACCCAGGTCCAGAATAAAAGAGCAAAGACTTGTGTTCTTGTTTGTTTCTTCATCGCTGTCACAAAATACTCTGACCACTACCAACTTGGGGAGGAAAGAGTTTATTTAAATCTTACATCTCTCGGGCCACAGTTCATCGGGGAGCCCAAGGTAGGAACTCAGGGCAGGAACCTGGAGGCAGGAGCTGGAGCACAGGCCATGGAGGAAGGGGCTGCTTACTGGCTTGCTCCCCTGGCCCCTGCTCAGCCCGCTTTCTTATGCAACACAGGCCCACCTGCCCGGGGTGGCACCACGCACAGTGGGCTGGGCCCTTCGACATCACTCATCAAGAAGATGCCCCTCAGACATGGCCACAGGCCAGTCCAATAGAGGCAATTCCCCAATTGAGGCTCCCTCAACCCAGGTGTGTCAAGTTGACACTAAAGCTATCCAGCACAACTTGTTTTGTCTTTTTGCAAAGACTGGGGCTCTAAGCCTGAAAACATAAATATATCCGTGGTGGCACGGGTGCCCGAAAGGCGGATCATGGTTCAAGGTCATCTGTGACAACATAGTGAAATTAAGGCCAGCGGGGGCTACATGAGCCCTGTCTCAAAACTATTCGCTTCTCTACTTTGGAAAAATAATTTTTACACCCCCGGAAATGATACAAACGCCCCCTCGTGGCCATGCCGCCCCTTGGATGGTGAAGAACTCCAGTCAAGGCGGACATTGGAGCGCTGCTGGTCTGTAGTGACAGGAGGGTCTGCTTCTGGGTCCGCTGCATCGGCTGGAATTCTAGGGTGTGAGGATGGGTGGGCCTCACTGCTGGGACCTGGTTCTCCCTCCTGGTCGAATGCTCCATGCCACCCGGCACCTGCTTAGTAGGAAGGATCCCAGCTCAGTCCTTGCCCAGTCCCCACGCAGCTGTGGCAGGGGTCCGCGCCCTGGCCCACCTTGCCCTTTCTCCCCTGCAGAACAGGAGGAGCTGCGGGTCAACTTGCGGGGGCAGAAGTCTCCCGGGGGCTGTTCCGTCACCACCGTCCACAATCCCACACTTCTAGCTATGTTTTGCTAAGGAGCCCCGGGTGACTAAGCAGCCCAGGCTGGCCTTAAAGTGCAGGCAATCCTCCTGCTTCAGTACCCTCCCCTCCCCACCCAGTTCTGGATAACTGGACACCACACCCAGCTATGCAATCACTTTCTCAAATACCATGGGTCTCCTGCGCTTCAGTTTCTATCAACTTGCTCCAATGTCATGGAATTTCAAGTTGTTTCTAAACAAACATTAGGCTCCTATGAAGTTTCCAAAGGATGGCGGCAGGCTTGAATTTGTCTAGACATCAAAAGGGGGAAGGCTGCGCACGAGCGCACCCGGTGGGGAATTAGCTCAAATGGTAGAGCGCTCGCTTAGCATGCGAGAGGTAGCGGGATCGATGCCCGCATTCTCCAGCTGTTTTGGGACCGCGGTACCGGAGACAGCTCCAGCCAGCGGGGCTGAGAGCGTGGAGACTGCACTCACTCACGTTTTGCACACTGAGCTTCTTGTTTTTGCCAAGGGAATCTGAAAACCCACACTTCCGCTAACGGCGCTACGATTACAAAGGCTTTCCCCGAGCTCCCTGCTTAGAACAGGCTCCAGCCCCTACCATCTTAGGAGACCTTTCAAAGAGCTGTCTAACTCACCGAGCGTTGCCCTCTGGGTTTATTGTATTTCATTTTATTTTTTCCTGTTCAGAAGATTTCAATGAGAGAGAGAGAGAGAGAGAGAGAGAGAGAGAGAGAGAGAGAGAGAGATTTAGTTTTATTTTTTTTTCTAATTTTTTTTTTTTTTGTGTGTTTTTTATATTTTTTTTT